GCAAATAGTTGTCCATCCATGGAGCCGATCCCAGCTGACATTGGGCAAAGGCAGGGTACACCCTGGACAGGTCGCCAGACTATCGCAGGGCTGACAGACAATGTACATTGTTGTTTTTTGTTTTTCTTGTTCTTTTTTTGCTAATTACATCAATCGTTAACAGCCACATTACAGGCTCCTGCCCCTTTTATACAGGACGCAGTGTGCGGGGCATGGTGCAAGCTATTGGAAATAATGTGTTTCAGAGTGCAGCGGTGCCGTTGCCGCATCCTGTGCGATGATCACATAGTTTGCAGTGCTGATGACTTTTTAAGCTCTTTGTTCTGAACAGGAATTGTACAATACAGTGCTTGGACTCTTGGACATACGCTTTCAAGAGGTTAATACACTCTGTAAAGAGTTTTTTTTAGGGAGTAATGTGTGATATTCATGCAGTTTGGGGAAAAAAAATGACACACGAGGCACTTTGGGTTCTTTTTGACCGCTGACTTGCATATCTACAGTTCGGACAGAAATAATTGCATTTTGTGATGCAAACAGAGGTTTTCTAGGGAAGGGGATTGATGTTCTTTACATCTCTATCAGCAAAGTCAGAGCAGGCAAGAAAACAAAGTAAGGCCTGGGTGAAAGGATTAAGAGAAGGGCCCAAAGCAAAGTGCTGCTGCCGGTCTGATAAGTTTGCTGAGGGGGCTGATTCACATTGGAATTTGGCAGACATCAAACCATTACTGCCTGCAGAGGACATAAGCAAAAGTAGACAATTCATTTTTGCTAAACTGTAGCTCGAAACCTGTAGCAGCGCAGACTGTGGAAAGAACCCTTTTTGTTTGTGTAGGTAAAAGTCACATCAGCTACAGCCATTTAGCTCGATGTATTTGTTTTACGAAACTCATTTAGCCAGCTATCTGTTAGATTGTGTGGCATGCAGCTCCGTAAATGAAACCTGATAGAGAGACCAAAGAACTCAGTGCCAACCTGAACCAGCAGCAGCTCTCTGCCTAAGGTCCTCATTTAGTTGTGGTTTGTAACCTGGTGGGTCACAGAAATGAATTACTGATTTGACAAATTAAATTGCACTCTCAAAGGAGGATTCATAAGTGCAGGATGTGTGTGTGTGCGTGTGTGTGTGTGTGTGTGTTAGGTGCATGACTATCAATGTTTCTTCAACAACACCAAACAGTGACTTTTAGCTGAGACGTATTGTGTGTAAAAACTGATAGCTCATGGTTGTATTTGGGGCGTTATAACGATTATAACTCAATTTTGCCACAGCTACTACTGCTGGGGTCATGGTGACGACTTTCTTAAAGGGAACATATCACGGAAAAGTCAAGTTAAAGAGACAGGCACTAAAATGGAGCATTCCAGACAGAGGGTAAACACCGGTATATTCAGACGGACTGTGTGAGAAAAATGAAGTGTTTTTTGAACATCAAAGCATGTAAACATGATCGAGTAGAAAACAGAATTACAAGTATGAACCTGAAAATGAGCATTATATGTACCCTTTAAAATGCGACACTACAAACATGGCGTGAAAGCGGTTGCTGCCGGTGAGCTGGCTCAGTTCTTCAGCACAACACACATTTGTGGTTGCTAGCAAGTAGAGGTTGGCATGAAGATAACTGAACGTAAGGAAGTGACTGGGAAAACTACCCAATCCATTCTCCATTGAAATTCAAATGTGTTGAAAAATGATGTTTGACTGAAAGCATAAAGAAAGGTATGTTTGTACAGCGGGTAGGCCTGATTGACATGAGTGTTGGTCAATCACACAAATGTGTGGTTGCTGCCCACTCGCTCCGCCTGTGAGAAGGCTTACAGAAAGAAAATCTATATTGCTTTGTTGTCGATGAGCTGTCGGTAATCACCAGAAAAAAGGTTGCCATGTTCAAGTGCTTCCATTGTGTGTTTCTCATATTTAGGGCTTTGAAATGCATTTCTGGTTAGCAAAAATGTATTTATTTAATTTGTTTAGGGGCCTAAAGTATATTATACTGAATTCACATATTGAAAATAATGTGCTTGACAGTTTACTATATTCAAGAACCAACATAATAATGCAGTGCACCCTGGTGACTCAACAGGGCTAAGGATCATAAAATAACTGCACTGTTCTGCTTTCAAATCCACCACTATCATGCTGGCTCTTCTCTTTCCATATTTTCTGACACTCTTGTTAGAGCGATCTAATGAAGGCAAAATGCCAACAAAAAAAAAAAAAGAACAGAATGTCAGAAAGGAGCGATATAAGAATGTGAAAATGCAAAAGTGATCTTTTAAATGTTGACCCTGAGATACATTAGTGAGCTTAAATTGTTTTTTTGTGTGTGTGGATGTGTGACTGCTGGCTGAATGGCTGACACACATAAGAGCACCACACTTGTCTGAACATCAATAATATTAATTTATGTCACCATTTGGCCTGTCACAAGGCTTTTACTGAAGCTAAAAATCATAAACACATTTACACTTTAATCAATATCATAAAAAATATGGTGCAGCAATGAGTGTTCCTTTTCTCCTGAGACATGGGTGCCAAACACGTTAATACAACTTGAACATGATTTATGGGTTGAGAGGCGCCACTACAGCAGCTGAACAGTTATACATCCCTCAATTGATTGAAAAGGCGAGAGAAAATAACTTTTTTTTTTTTTGTAATGCTGAAAATGAGATGCACAGCAACTGATGTGTTCAAGAAGAGCCAGCTAATGGCGGTAGTGATGAAGGAGAAGAGGATCAAAAACAGTGATGTGGTTTCTTGTCTACCGGGGCAACATACTGTATATGTAAATACTGTGTATAGCATTCAACAAACAATAATAAAGATAAGCTTTTATGAGGAGTTTAACGTTAAATCCAAAACAGGGTGCGAGAAATATGATGAAAGGCTGTAGCTTCTTGTAGCTGATGTCATGGAGGGCCTACAGGAAGTAGGCATAGTAGTGGGGGTTGTTTGAATGTTTCATTCATTTTGGATGATGTGAAAGTTACTACATTGGAAGCCATAGTGGCAGAAAGTAAAGTGCGACTTCACCTCGAGGTCGGAGCCTGAGTCCATCCGCTGCATCATTTTGAAAAACACAAAGGGGCTGAGAGATGAAACCACACTCGCCTCCGTACGACTAACGCCTCGACGCAGAGTCAATAAATATGAAAGCCAGAGGTGGAAACTAAAATATTGATCAATGTGCACTGTCCCTGGTAAATAAATAGAGCTGATAACAGCTAGCTACACATAGATATAAAGATGAGATAGAACGTTATCACTCCCGAAGGATCAGAATAGAGGGCGCTAACGGTCTTTTATTTCATGGCGTAGATAAGTCCCAAACGGGTGACTATCTCAGAGCTGGACCTGCAGGATAAGGGCTGATTTAAAAGAGTAGCTGACGTTATGAGCCATTTTCAACCATCAAAGGCCCATTTCTACAAATTTGGTAAAAATTGTCAATATTAACACAAGCATTGATGCGTTTTCACTATAGGACATATCATTTATTTTATCGCTAAAAATAAGTTTGAATGTGGAGCTACTCTACAACTCTGCCCTGTAGAATGTTGTACCCATGAGGTTTTATGAAGATGTTGAATGCATCGCAGTACTTGTAAAAAATTTGCAAGGCTTCTTTTTGAAACATTTTAAAATCCAGAGCTCTACTGCAGGTAGGAAAAAAAACCTCCAAGGGAAACCTCCAATATAATACATCTGCTCCATTTCATGCCACTGTATACTTCTAATCCTCTACATTTCAAATATAAATAGTGTACTTTATTTCACTACGCATATCTGGCAGTTTACCAATTACATTTCACATTAGGATTTAACATAAAAAACACAAGTTTTCCATGTGATTGTCATACATTTAAACTACACAAGTTCAGTCGGGCAGACTCTCAAAATTCACAAATCTCTTTTTCTCTCTCTGCCCGTCTCTCCGTCTCCTAAACTCCATCAGCTGACTATGATAGCTCACACTAAGTTAAACCAACCAGATTTTCCATAAGCCAATCAAATCGTTGCTGTCAAACTTAAAACTGCTCTCTCTGCTGCGGTCAGTTGTCCTTTCAGTACAAACCGATGCGACCCTCCTCCAGCCCGTTCACCTCCAGTCTTCATCACGTGTAGTGTCCAGTGCTGCTCCACATCCCATCATCGGATCTTCAGCAGACTCCCTTCACCACCACCAGCGAGGGAAATATTCCTCCACAACCCCCTTTAATATTCTCCGTCACCACGGGGTCTAATCGACAGACTCTTCACTATTCATCTCATCGTGTGACGTGTAATAAACTATTGCTCACACTAACTTAAGTCTCTCCTGATTGAAATAGTTAAAATTAGCTTCACCTCAATTAGCTGTAACAGCAGTAATTTGATACACATTGATGCAACAGTAAACACATCTATTATATAACTCAAATGGGCCATTCTGTTGCAGAACAAGTACTTTTATTTTGATACTTTCAGAACATGTTGCTGACACTACTGTAATTCTAGTTAAGTAGGATTTAGAGGGCTTTTTAGTTGTAATATTTTCACCGTGTGATATTGGTATTTATACTTAAGTAAAAGATCTGGATACGTCTTCATACACTGGTAAAATGTCATTTAATATGTTTGTTTGATACTTGTTTTATTCAATACAACCTATGGGCTTTTGTATTTTGTTTTATTCATCATTTTAATCAATTACTATAAACCTGACAACCCATTGGTTTTGCTATAGCGGTATACAAATGGCCGACCAGTGAACATCTTTGTTCCTGTGCTCTTTCCTATAGCTCAGAGTTTCTCCCACTCAGTCACTAGATATTTGTAGGAAAGGGTCTTCTTTGGCTTCATATTCCTAATACGTCCATTTCTGAACTTTACAAGCTGACAGGTGATACATATTAATATGACCGCATGATGGCATGCATATTGGAATATATAATATGCATTATAACATTTGGTTTCTGGTGCTGGGGCACAGTCTGACTTTGACGATGCGTAATACTTTAGGAACAGTTTTATTTTAGTCTTGAACAGTCATCCGTTATCTTTTCACAGATCATTCCTCAAAAAAAAAAAAAAATCACTGAAGCAACAATTCACTGAACAACTGGGCTAAAACCTGAGAACTATTGTTTATGTGTTCAAGAGGGGAGACAGTGAGACGCTGACATTGTGAAGCTCGGCTTCCCGTCATCTATATGTTTCGGCTGGTGTTCAATTTCTTTTGCAAATGGGTTTACCAGAATTCCTCATTAATCAGAGGATGGGGAATCTTGGCAGCGTTAGCGCAGCACAAAAGAGTTCCTGTTTTTTTTTAGTTTTTTTTTAAGATTCAAATAAGCCTGCAGCATATTTGACAGCACACTGTTTTCAGAGAGTACAGTGGTGGAGGCAAGGGATGGTGGCAGCAGAGGGAGCTTGTTAACAGAACAACAACTCTGGCTTTCATGAGAAATGAGTATGCAGAGGAACTGGAGGCTTGTCTGCGTTCGGATGTGAAACCGCTGCACCAAACGCTCTCTCCTGGTGGGCTCAGGAGGTCCCTGGACCCAGCACGGGTCCTTTCTCCACTCAGAGATGTTTGGCAAGATGACGACAGTCACTTGTGTGTACAGCATTTATGTGAAGTCAAAAAAAGGGCCTCTCTTTATTATATTTGTTTGAAACCGAAATATGGCTTCAAAAATTCTGAAATGATTTGTAGCTTCAAGAAACATTAGATATCACTCTATCTACAGGATGTTTTGTTTGTTTAAATGGAACATATATGTATATTTTTTTGCAGAGAGGGGACATTGGACTACCTTGTTTAGCCTGCTGCCCTAAAATGATAGAAATAAAAAATCTGCGATTACGATTTGCATTCCATCGGTATTTATTGATTGAAGCAAAAGGCAGTTAATCACCGTTCCAATCAATTGAGATGCACAAGACCTTGAATAGGAAAGCATTTGAACCCGAGGACCTTGATTTGCCAGCTGTTCACTCAAGAGTTGTCCCACAGTGTTTTTGCAGCGTATCTCAGGTGCTCACGGATCACAGGCATTCAATCTTCTCCAACCCTGGATCTGCCCTTGCCATCAAATTTCATCAAATTTGAAGCAGGCCCGGCGTGAAAGACAAATGATTACAACACGCTCTCCAGATCGAACACCACTGACCTTTCTGCAACACGTCTCTTTAAAAAGCACCAGTGAATGTCAAACTATTCCCTGTTCTTCTGTTGGGCGGGCTGAAGGGTCCATTCCGCACCCCTTCATCTGCACAGCGATGTCAAACAGGTAGTCGTAGCATTCACACCTACAAAATGCAGCAGGATGTTGCGTGTAGGAGGAGAAAAACAAAGTAAGGAGTTTAAAATCAGTTTTCTTTGGCAACACATGCCCTCGATACGATCATACCTATATATTCTTAGTCAGAAGCAAGGTGAACGAGGCCGATGGCGATGGGAGGTAAATGCTCACATGGTCTTAGCTTTTTCCCACGACTCCCCCCAGACATAGACGCCGTGTCGGCGGACGAGGACGGCACATGAATCTGGGTATTCCTCCATAGCCCGAGCCATCCGGTCTTTCAAGTCCTTCTCCTCTGGTGTGTTTTCAACAATAGGCACGACCAGGCTGTCATCGTACCTGTGTACATGCAGGGTACAAACTGCCATTCAGCATGAGCTCAAGCAGGGTCTTGACACTCTTCGGATCTACACCACTCTCGAGGATTCGATAGTTTTTAATTTAAAATGGCGAATTTGGCCGACACGTTGACAAGTGTGCAGCTAGGATTTCTACTACGAGTGCCATGATCATTTATAAACTTCCACTTCACAGATGAAAATGCTCGGGACCTCTTTGGACTTCACTAATCCTTGCATCTTGATAACATACCGATAGTTGGTGCCTGAGGTGCCTTTACGAATCCCCTTGATCATCTCCTGGTGTGTTATCCTGAACTCTTTGCCAGGATACAGCAGTGTTGCCATGACAGCAGCCTTGGAGTGGGTGTGTATAACTGCCTGTGCCCCTGGATTTTAGCAAAGGAAAGGCGGATTTTTATTTATTTTTTTTTTGATTTTTGAGTGTTGTGTACCGGCATTGTACCTCTTTCTCAAAATGATTATTGTAACAAGACGAGACAAAGCATGCAACCACCCACAGACGATGAACCATCGAGGTGCGCGCTATGCTTTGAAATGATTTGGTTCAATTTAAATTGGGTTAGCAATGGGTTCTAGTTTTGGGGGGCTTCACGATCTGTGACAAACTGAAGAAACTTTCACTTTATCCACTCCAAGATAGAGGGGGAGTTTAATTTCATCACATCTAAATTGACCTTTAATTACAATGCATTTATTAAAGAGCCGTATCTTATGAGTGGAACCTTGGACTGCTTCTTTATGAAGTCAAATATTTCTCCAGAATTTTGTCAAAAAGCAATCTTTCTACAAACCAGCGCCTTCAAATTAAATACCTCAATTTTTAGAGAATATTTTTTTAATCTATCCGAAGAAAATAATTTCAGGAACCGCATGTTTATAGAATAAAATGTGTGTAACATAAAGTTGGATCAAAGAAGACAAGGAGTCTATTATTAATTTTACTATTTTCTTTCCATGGCTATGTATTACACACTTTCTGATGATGAAATGGTGTGGCACTCAAAAAGATAATCCCAATACTCAGTAACATGCATTATATCTTTCTTATTCCATTCAGCCTCTCAAATTAGAAACATTTAGATTTAATTAAAACATATTTTTCAGTTCTCCTCTCTGTTTGTTTGTGCAACAGTAAACAATATATTGAAAACAAGTACATATCAATGACTTAATTAAAAGGACAACTGGTGGTTTGCAGGTTACTGATTCTTTCACTGACTGAATGGTGGGATGCGTATGAATGTTTTAGTGACTCACCTCTCATAGTATAGGCGTTCATAAAAAGTGGTGTACACTGACTCTTCCTGAAGTTCTTCCAGGCAGGTGGACAGCTGATTTCCCTCTCTTCCACGTCACACACAAACATGTCTTCTGGCTGTGGAACACAAACATCAAAAAGGTTTAAAAAAAAAAAACCACACAAATACAATACCGCTACATCAGTTTATTTGTACTGCGGTTAGAACCTGCTTACCTGTATTCTCTCTTTCTGGATGCCTGATGGTGCAATGTAGATCTGCTCTCTGTGAGTCACACAGCAAACAACATGTTATGTATTTATATAGAGGGAGGAGGACAAGGACAATGAAGTCGTTCTTGAAATGGCAGTGCTTTGTCATAACATAATGGAGCATAGAGGCCTTGCCTGGCAAACAAACAACAGTACTCTTCTTAAGATATTGTGTCTTTTCCTCAAGAAAAGCGATCTATAAAAAGGAACTGAAACTCAACGACTACATCTTGTTTAAAAAAAAATCATTCACCAAAGCTTTTCCAGCGATCCATAAAGAACCAATTTTCTTGGTCAGTATTTCTTCAGTTTTTATCTAAAAGTATTTATCCCAGTCCCCATTGTTCTATTTACTTGGAATGCCATTTAAACTGGAATGTAAATAAAGCTTCATTCTCCAGGCTGAACTAAAAAATTCTAATGAAAAAAAAAAAAAAAAAGAGCCTGAGACTAAAAGTTAAGAAAATCCACTCCTTTTCAACACACAGCATCATTTCATCCACACAAAGTCTTTCATGATGAGATTCTTGCTTAAAATGGTGAGAGCCATGACGTTTCCCCATAGAGAGACGAGGAAAGAGCTATTGTGCTCTTCTTTACCGAGCAAGGAACACAGCAAATAAAGGACTCTCCTATTGATTTCTGTTGTGCAAGGTTTGGCGAGGCCGCCTTAGGCTCCGAGTCTTTTCTGAGTCAAACCAAAGCAACCGTGAAAAAAAAGCTTCAAACCTTAAATTCTGTGAGACCGACGCTCACAGTACATAAAAATACACTTACACAGAGTTCTGTAAAATGACACTACTGCCTATTTAGATTGCGTAACGTATTTCCATTGATCCACTTTATCCAGAGTCAGTGAATACGTGTTAGAGGCTTTTAGGTTCCTAAGCTCATATTTAAACAGTGTACACAAGGGCCGCATAATGGATAAATCTGAATAGTTCTCAGTGTAATACCTAGACAATGTTAGGGCCACAAATTGGGACTTCAACTGTCTCCCGTTTATTTTACTTTATAAAAAAGGTAAGCTTCAGTACTGCAGCGGAGCGTAGAACTGCTTATTATCTATCGAAATCTAAAAGGTATAATTATTTAACAATGAATCGCAATTCTCCTGTCGATCATTTAAGAGTTGCAATGTGTTTCTACCTGAGCGAAGCACCAGTACACATGGAGTGGCAGTCAGTAAATCTAATTTGGTTTCCCTCTGAGGTTTCATCAAGTTCCCCTGTTGGCTTAAATAAATGTCTGCCACTCCCCATTTCAAACAGGGATTTGCTGATGGGTGGCGCTTGCAGCTGCTATCCAAAACAACACAGTTCAAAGATGTTTGTAATAGCCTGTCAAAGCCCTCAGTTTGAATTGTTTCTTTATGGTACAACTGTGGCCTTTGGTCTTCACCCTAGATTTGCACACATTGTCGAAACTGATGTAACTGACCTCACATCAGCCTCGCTGCACTTTTCAAAAAGATTTCATTTTTTGGCATGATTGTCAAAGATATGTGACATTTATTTTCTTTGTAAGTTAAATGTGGGTGTTTCTTTTCTGATCCTTCACAACAGTCTATAGAAAATTCTTATAACGAACCCTCGTCTTAGACTGATCCCTCCGCCAGTCCCTGTCACCCATCCCAGCTGGTAGAAGAGTCGGCACAACTCCGGGATGAGGACACGAGGGTGCTCTTTCTCCTGTAACAAACACAAAACTGTTGATTAGTGAACCCTTTTACAGCAGACGCCGCGACTACATCGTGGTGTGTGCTGGAGGCAAAACAAAGGAAAGACTGGAGGAAAACACAAATCACCTCAGAGTAACAAGCTAAAGTTATACTGCGATAATGTCACATTGCTGTGTTGTTGGGTCCCGGAATCAATATTGCATACATTTGAGATGAAAAACCGTGAATAAAGGTTCTAGCGAGTTATAATATCGGTGAAGCGAAGCCATAGAGGGATGGAGAGGAAATGTTGCTAAAAGTTTAGCCTTCTGCTAGCATTAGGCTGTGCGGATGAAGCATTAAGTTGTTAAATTTGACTCATATAGCAGTCGGCTAATTAGCTAGCAACCTTGCTTAATCCACCATGCTTTCATGCTACACTGGTTACAGAACCCAACGGCAGGCTGGTGGCAGAGGCACGGCCCCTCTGCCTCACTCCTCACCAGTGGGGTACTTCCTTCACAGAGAAGATAGTATGCAAGCTCTGGAGACAGACAAGCTAGCTAGCCAACTAGCTCGCTTTAGAGATGTACAAGCTAGCTAGCCAACTAGCTCGCTTTAGAGATGTACAAGCTAGCTAGCCGGCTAGCTCGCTTTAGAGATGTACAAGCTAGCTAGCTGGCTAGCTCGCTTTAGAGATGTACAAGCTAGCTAGCCAACTAGCTCGCTTTAGAGATGTACAAGCTAGCTAGCCAACTAGCTCGCTTTAGAGATGTACAAGCTATCTAGCCACCAAGCCAGCTTTAGAGATGTACAAGCTAGCTAGCCAACTAGCCAGCTTTAGCGATGTACAAGCTAGCTAGCCAACTAGCCAGCCAGCCGTCCTCTTTGGAGCTCCCGTCTGCTCTCCTCCCAGCGTAGTCTGTTGTCTGCTAGCAGCAAAGGGGTCAGCCAATCTGGTCCCGTTGGTTCATGGTAACACTCTGTAACCCGGAGAGTGAGTGTTCAGACATCATAGAAAAATAACAAGTCAACAATACTTGCTAGCCAGCATTAACTAACGTGCTCAGATAGTTATTCTGCCTCCACCTACACTCAGCACACAAACATATGTCATCAGAAAAGAGGTTTAAAAAAGCAATTCAACTTAAAATGCAAATGGATGAATCTAAAAGCACTGTGCTTTTTAATGTTGATGGCATTGCTGTACCAGTACCATTGTTCTGGGTGACATGTTCCTTAAATAGCATCAACACACACTGTGGTAGTTTTGACTCAATCCCACACACACACACCACCCTCGTGCCGTAAATACTCAATTGAGAACAATGTGTGTATTAATCCACAGTTGAAAATGGTTCTTAATGCACTACTTTCTTACTAATGGGATTGAGGCTGTGTGCCAGACACAGGATAAGGAAGTCAGAAAGTACTGTGAGACAGTCCTAAAATACTGAAAATGTGTATATGCACTGTGCTTTTGAGACTGAGGAGAGTCCATCTGTCTCTTCAGATTGCACCAGACGAGAGCGCTCTTACCAACTGCGTTACAGTATGGAACAGCAACTGCTCTGTCTCGGACCAGCGGCGGTCCAGCACAAGCGACGTCTGCGGAGGACGAGCAGCATCGTCAGGGACATTTGTCCTTCTCCCCTCTGGGAGGCGCAACAGGACTCTCTGTTCCCGAACCAGTAGGCTCGGCAACAGCTTTTTCCCACTCAGCTGTCACCTCTCTGAACTCTGGATCAATCACAGTGATACTTCATACTGCCACACTACTGTAACCTGTATTATAAATGCACTCACATGCCAATACATACTTATACTACTGTCCATACTGCACGTATTGTTACTCACACCACTGTCCATACTGTATTATCAATTGTGTAGAACCATATTCATATCACTGATCATACTGATATAGATATATAGATATATATAGATATAGATATATAGATATAGATATATATACAGTGGGTACGGAAAGTATTCAGACCCCTTTAAATTTTTCACTCTTTGTTTCATTGCAGCCATTTGCTAAAATCAAAAAAGTTCATTTTATTTCTCATTAATGTACACTCAGCACCCCATCTTGACAGAAAAAAAAACAGAAATGTAGAAATTTTTGCAAATTTATTAAAAAAGAAAAACTGAAATATCACATGGTCATAAGTATTCAGACCCTTTGCT